TCCCCCCCCCCCCCCCCCCTGCCCCCTATCCGCGCGTCGCAACAGGCGGAGATCGCGTACGTCCTCCTTCCCGAGGAGGACGTGCCCAACTCCCTCTGGCTGGCGAGGCTAGCGCCGACCGCCCTGTCCAGCTGGTCCCGCCCGCGGTTCTCGGTGTCGATCATCACGAACGACCGGCCCCGGTCCCTCTCGAGGCTGCTCGATTCTCTCCAACGTTCCAGGCTCTTCGGAGACGAGGTGGGAAGAGCGGTTCCGCATTGAGGTTCTCCTGTGTTCTATTGGCCGTTTTTTTTTTTTTCGTTCTTCGATTGGCGAATTAGTTAGACGACCGTATTTTATTTTTGGTTCTGCTTGTTGTTGGCGTCGACGCTTGTTCTTGAGTTATGTTATGTCCACGGTGAGCCTGTGAATGATATGTTGGGTTGGGTTTTTGTTTGTGGTGGTGTGCATCGGCGTCTTGGCGACGACTTCTTCACACACGCGCACGTGGGCGAAATACGCCTACCGCCCCTTTCTCTCTTTCTCTCTTTCTCTTTTTTTTTTTTTCTCTCTCTCTCTCTCTCTATCTATCTCTCTATATCTCTCTCTCTTTCTCTTTCTCTTTCTCTCTCTCTCTCTCTCTATCTCTCTTTCTCTCTTTCTCTCTCTCTGTATCTCTCTCTCTCTCTCTCTCTCTCTCTCTCTCTCTCTCTTCTCTCTCTCTTGCTCTTTGCCCCCACCCAACTCCCACTCGCCTTACCTTGTCCCTGAATCTCGGAACCTAATTTTCCACTGCAAACAGATGGCGGTAGATTTTTACATCGAGAGCTCGGCCGACGACGACACTTTGGGCGTCGCGGAGAGGTTTTCGTCCGTGTGGGGGGACCGGGGACAAGTACAGACCCACTTCCGGGTCCTGAAAGGCGGCTTGATTCGCGCCGTTACGGAATCTTTCTTCCCTTCCGACAGGTAGGCTTGTGGAAGCCGTTGTTGCTGCTGCTTTCATAGCTGTTTTTGTTGTTGGTGGGTGCTGTGGTTGCTCCTGCCTCTGCCTCTGCTGCTGCTACTGCTGGTGTGTTCTGCATCGTTGTTTTTCTGGATTTCCCAAGCGTTAACACTTTGGCCACAGCACCGCGATCTATTCCATCATGTTGCTATGAGTACCTGAAAAAGGTGGACGCCGAATTCTTGCCGCATCGGTACACGTTCCCTCACCAGACTTGTAGCCACCTTTCTGTGATATCCACTGCAGCCTCCTCCGCTGGTGAAGCCGTGCCCTGCCGACACCAAGATGCATAGCAGTCGCTGGCGACGAACACAAAACACCGATACAAGTATCTCTCCTTTTTTGTTCTTGTAAAGTACAACACATCGAATGAATGTCTTATCCACAGATGATTCGGGGATAAATTA